AAAAAAAAATACCCCGACTTCCTGGCATCCCTTTTTAACACAAAGACAAAAAAAAAAAAAAAGATATTTTCTTCCCCCCCACAAAAAAAAAAAAGCACGGGGGGGGAAAAAAAGCAAAAAAAGGAGGGCGGTGGGTATTCGTTCGAGACAATACCCAGGTGCGGTGTGCGTGCTTGTGTGGATGCGACTGCGTGGGTACAGCACAGCTGGAGAAGTGGGATCCCAGCTTGGAGAGAGGAGGAGGACTCTGTGGGATGAGGCCCAAGGATGATGCGGTGATGATGTCGCTCGTGTATGTTCGATTCGGGTTGAGTTTGGTTACGTTACACTTCACAGTGTTGCTGATGCAGGGCAGACGGTATATTGGTGTATGTCTCTGCTCGAGTAGTGTTGATGATGATGTCTGACACTGGAGGCTTCGATCTAAGTGTGCATAAGAGACGCGACTGGTTGCAGGGCGTCGTCTGATGAATTGAATTGTTGGCTCGGACTTGGGACAAGCAAAGACCCGAGAGACGCTGGTGTGGAGGCAGACGCAACAAACTATGCAGAGCGCGGAAACCAGAGAGGCACGGAGCAGTATATGTAATGACAATGCCGAGGGGGAAGATGTTGGCGCAGCTGAGGTCACGCAGCTCGTTGCGTTGATGATCCTCAAGGAAGACGGGGAAAAAAAACAGGGAGCAGCCAAGGCAAAGCAGATGCAGTTCCAGATGCAGGTGGGATCTGGGGAGGGGGGGTGCTGAGGGTCTTTGAGTGATCCCACGAGTTGGCGATGGAGGCCTGGCCGGGGGGGGCGGGCGATGGCGAGAGCGCTGAGGGGAGGGGTGTCACCAGCGTCGTTCAGGGCCTTCCCCACTACACCTGCGCGCTGACCGACCACTGGCATTGACTCGGCTCAGGCGGTCTTGGCAGGCTCATACGGTCACTTGGGAAGTGTTATTGATCGCTGTAAAGGGGCGACTTTCGCGGTTGCCCCAATGACGAGGTGCCATAAGTATCCTCATTAGGATTAGCGTCTTGGTGATGCATGCCGCTCAGCCAGGGTCTGACTCTCGTTTCTCTACCTACCTAGCCTAGGTACCTACCTATGCATGTACATTCATCCTTGAGCTTTTCGTTCTCGTCAACTTCGTCCCCGGTCAAGCGACAACATCACGTCAATATCATGCCTACCCTGCGTTGAGCTCCTCGACTACCGCTGTGTCCAGGAGATCTTCGGTCCATAAGCACCGGCGGTCGACGAGGCGTCTCCAAAGCAGCACGCACGCAGACTGATGAAAGGGTGTGAGACAGGCCGGTCTCGTGCCCCGATCACAAGCGACGAACCCAAGACTCCGTTTTCGACGCTAACTCCCCTTCTGAATCGCCTCCCGTGTTTGGCCTTGCATGCCCAGGCCACGGAACGTACCCTGCAGATTTGCTCGCCAACGTGCTTCCGTCAGACGCCTGGCCCGCCCCATCTCGACCGAACCAAATTCTCGCTGCGCCCATCTGTCAAGACCTGTTCACAGCCGGGCCCAGAGCATTCCATGAACCCCAATCATCGCTACCTCTTCGCTAGCCACGGGAACTCCCAGGTCGTTGGGATGGATCCTCTCCTTTGAGCGTCTTTGTCGCAAGAACCTGCCTCAGGACCCAAACCATCGGGCCACCCCTCAGCCCTCTCTGTATGCAGGTCTCTGCGAGGAACGAGAGGCCAAGGTGCCTCTGCTGGCCCCCCGGATTTCTCCCCCAGCATTCCACGTTTACTGAGGCCTCGCTTCGTCGCACCGGATGCGCCAGCGGCGTGATCACTGATATAGCTCGGCATTGGCTAGTGCCCAGGAACTCATCTTGGCTTGCTGTTATGGCAGACCCTACTTACTCTATATCCCAGATCTAGATCGGCATATCGCGATCAGAGGTTACTCCTTTTTTGGCTGACAACAAGCTCCTATACCCGCCACAGCGGCTGTGGCGGCAACCGTCACGAACTTTGGTTTTCATACTGGTATATCCAAAGCTTCGTCTCCAAAAGCTCCAATCCGTGTTCTGCCTGCCCGCTTTAGAGCCGAGCCCAATTGGTTTTTTTTTTCCCTTCTTTGAGTCCCCCATCTGCATGACCTACATTACTTACGGTACGAAGCTTCGATCATATAACGCCCGAGCTCCATGTCGATCACCAGTGGCGGGCAAACGCCAAACCGAGGCTTCTCTTCGCCCTGTCCTCTCTGTCTTCGGTGGCCCTCTGTAGAAGCCCGATTTGTATGGCTAACATTCCCTCGAGCCCTCGAGCACGGCTGCTCAAGATCACAAATCCCAACAGCTAGCTACCCGCCTCTCGCGTGTTACACTGTCTCCCCATCTGCTTGTAATGCAGCCACCCTCGCCCTGCTGAAACATACCTCGCAAGCTGGCATGCTCGGGTTTCGGCGCACCAGCTCCCTCACTCAACTCGCCTCCCCGCCAACCGCGTGGAAGCCCTTCTACCAGTTCTTCTCGAAGGGGCTCCGCATTCCAGCTGTGCCGCCCTGCACTGCGTTCGCTCAGCCAGCTGCTGCGCCCGGTTGCTCGTCCTTCCGGCACCGAGAGCGAGACCGTCTCTCCTGGTATCGTTTCGCAGGACAAGGGCAGG